ATGAATAGAAATGCTGCATGGCCAGCGGAAAAGGGCGGACACCACCAGTGAGAGACCTGGGAGACAAATGAATACGGAAAAGAGCAGACACCACCAGTGACAGACCTGGGAGACAAATGAATAGAAATGTTGCACATGGCCAGCGGAAAACAGACCTGGGAGACAAATGAATAGAAATGTTGCAAATGAAGAGAAATGCTACATGGCCAGCGGAAAAGGGCGGACACCAGCAGCGACAGAACTGGGAGACAAATGAATAGAAATGCGACATGGCCAGCAGAAAAGGGCGGACACCAGCAGCGACACAAAGGGCGGACACGTCTTTCTAAGAATTGAGAACCCCTAACAGTAAACTGTTTGGGGAAAAAGATCAATCGTACACATAAATAGACAGAAACTCACTGGACCGTCTTCCCATCTCATCACCCTCCCGTCGCGTCGTCGTCGCTCGTCCTCTTGGAGGAACTCCCCGCCGTGCGCGTCGTGCGCGTGCGTCGGAACGCCAGGCTCCGTGGTGTGCCTCAGTGAAAAGCAGGGTCCGCTGGCCAGTGGCCAAGTGGAAACGTGTTTGGGTTTGCTTGGGGCTGTTTGGAGTGGTTCTTGTTTGGGGTTTGGTTTGTTCATGTTCGTTCTCTTTTTTTTCAGCAGCCCTGAATTCAAAACAGCTGATGGCAAGTGCAAGAGGATGTTCAAGGGTGATTTGTTGCCTGTGTTTCTTTTGCCCAAGTCGTCAGGGTCCAGCTGAGCTATGGTGAGACGGCCCTGAAACTGATACTGCCCTCACAGGCACTCCTAGTACCAACACACTTTGGTGCGAGTCTGGGTCGGTTTGTTTGTACACTTGGGGATCAGTTGGGAACCTCAGTGGAACACAAACCTACTGCATGTTGTGTGAATCCGCCAAAACTGGATGGTTGCAGTCCTCACTCACCATCCATTCCAAGGGTGACTCGGCGGCTTCGGACCCACGACGTGGCCAGGACCCAAACCCGGAGGGACTTCGACTGAAACATAGTAACAAGAAGCTACTAGTAGCTAGAAGCTACTAGGTGGAGGCCATTGCTATTAGCTTGGAGACCATCCCTACTATAGGAGCAAGAAGCTACTAGTAGCGGCGCGACAGGTCTTCCTTTTTTCCTTTGTTTCTACTAGCGATGGTCTCCAACCTAATAGCGAGGGCCTCCAACACAAGATATGTCAAGATGTCCTCAGAAAAGCCTGGTGGTGCGATTCGTGAGGAATTAGGGAGATTGAGCCACTAAGATAGAGTCCTCTGGATCAAAGTCCTCGGGCGAAGATGCTTCGTGGCTGAGACCCGATCATGGGGATTTCGATGCTGAAAAGATGAAAAAGGGTGTAGACAGATGGGGCAAGATTGGTGCAGCCAAAATGGAAGGCCCCAAACACCCCAGGCCCAGCCCTTTTAGAAGATCCTCCTTGAGTGAAGGGACACTGAAAACGATAATGTGTGAATGTCACAACACTTGGGAGCAGGATCACACCCGTGCTTCTCTTTTGGCAACCCCTTCCCCCTGTGATTATTGTTTTTCGCGCTCTTTTTCCCTAAGCGGGCGGAAAACTCACCTTTGGTGACAGGCACTCCACCTGCTTTCCCACTTCAAGATCAAACCCTCCAGGATCTCCTGTGGCTCCTTGATTCTCCTTGCTGAACTTCCGTCGCGCCGCCAGGCTGTTTGCCTTGAGCTTCAGGCCCGAGGACAAAGGGCTGCCGTCAGATCCGCTACTGGCGGCACGACTGCGTGGTGGTAGTGGCACATAGACATAGGCCTTGAGCTTCACAAAGTGCGAACCAAGCGTTCGAGGCACGGAGAATGTGGGATGTTGGCCGTTTCTGACTGGTGCGACGAAAGTAGGGAATGAGGGAAGTTGCGCCCCTGTCTAGAGATTCGTTTGGATCCCCACCCTCAGCCACCCTACAGTCGTCGCACCAGTCAGCTTTTGTTTGGACTTTCTGGCCTCCGCCTCTGGTAGCTGAGCCAATTGACTGGGCTCCCGAAAGGCAGCCAGGGACGACGCCGTGTGCGCGCGGCTGGCGAAGCTCACCTCGCTGCCGCTGGAGCGCTCCGAGGCCACGCTGCGAGCAGCACTGAAGGGGAACCTCATGAGGAAGCCGAGGAAGCGTGATTTGTCGCGGAACATTAAGCTGATCAAGCTCTGGCATCAAGGTGTGTGGCACTTTGCCGGAGTGGTAGGCCAGAATCATATCGGGTCAAAGTGGGCTCAAGAGACAATGATAGTGTTGACCCTATACTACACGGATATAAGTGTGTATGCAGTATATTAAATACAGTAATCAGTAATCATATATAGATTGAAATTGGTTCCATGCTCTTTGCCTACTGGGCGAAAACCGAACGTGCAGGCACATGACCGGCATTTGTCCATGGCGGTGTCTGTGAATTCACGGGGAAGCAACTTCAGTGTCTCAGCCTGCACCACCTTGTTGTGTCTCCTTTTGAACATCGGAATTCCACTGGGGGGGTCGAATATTTTGATGGGCATGGTTGTGGCGTGTATTCTGGTGCCGTCCGTCCGATGAGCCGAGTGTCCGTTGGAATCCGGTGCTTGGAGTCGGGCTGGAGATCTGTTTTACATGTGGAGTGCGGCATGCTGGGCAAACTGATACTTGTTGATATTGATTGATAACCTTATCAAGTGGCCAACCGATGCATTTTTGACGCAGGATTGATAACGTATAAAGTGGCCAACCTATGGACCTATGCATTTTGACGCATGATCGATGTTCGGATGTCTCTCTGGTGTGGTTTCTTTTTGATCGATAGCAGCTTCGGGCCACGGGATGCGGCACGAAGTGGTTTTCTTACATGATTTCACGAGGAAGTGTGCACGAGGAAGTTCGACGCGTTTGATCACGGGTTCCATTGCAGACCGGTCAAGCACATGGCAAGGCATGCCGAAACAAGACCAGCACACCTAGGTAGGTGCCTTGAAGAGGGTGCTGTAGAAGCTTTCCAACATGTTTTCCAGTTACATGATGTGCCTCGCGTACACTTGAGACCAAATTAGTCGTGTCCTTTTTGGAAACCACTTCGTGAAAACGCGCAAGCTCTTGAAGTCTTGCGAAACACGCATCCACCCGAAAACCCATAGCGGATCGTTAAAGACCATGTTGCATGAAAATGGTGTTCCCGTATTGGAGCGAACAGGCGATCCTTTTTTGAAACACGCAATGGAACTACATGGAATTAACGACATTCACTGAAAAAAGAGCTAAAACCACTAGGTTTGGGGCCTTCTCTAGTGGTATGTTTGAAGATCAAACTACAGCCCAGGTTCTTCGCCCCAGCAGGGATGTGTGATAAAATCATCTCCAAGACAAAAAGCTTGACAGCACCACCAAGTATACGAACCAACCAGGACCGGCCCCATTCGCCTGGTGGTTTTGGGAGACCCCGGAATCGTCTGAAAAAGAGGCTATTGACAGACACCGACACACCCCCAACGGAGGGTCCTGGAATTTATAGACCATGACAGCCTCGAGCACAGCCCCACATCCCGATACTCAAGCAGGAGACTCTTCTCATACAAATGGACTCACAACACGTGGGTACAAAGACCTTACAGAAGATTTGAGAGCATGAGATGCCAAGAAACTCCGCAAGAGAAGGCAAACTTCCCAGGAGCCTCAACACATCCTGCCAACTCTGTCCCAAATGCTTCCTTTTTGCATGCAGTTGCTGAACTCCCCCTCCGCTCAAGCTGTCGTCCTTCATGAAGCGAAGACCTTGCCACCAAACAGACCATGTGTAGTTCAGGCTCAAGAGCAGTTCGTTCTTTTCTTCCAGCTCATCCTGCACCTCCGCTCCTTCGGCCCAACGCGTCGCGCTCCGTCCGCGCCGCGGCGGCGAAGGAGGCTCCGTCGCTCCTTCGGGCGCCGGTCCTTCGGCCTGAGCGAGACCAGGTCCTCGTGGTGTGACGCCATCGAAGGAGCGACTCCGAAGCCAGGTCTTGGTCTCCTGACGTGGAACTGCAGGGGGTTCTGAGCCGAGAAGAGGTCCCCACAACCCGGGATTGTGTCGTGCTTTTCTGTCAAAACTCCTCAACAATCACCCTTTTCAGCAAGGTCTCCTCCTTGGTCTTGGAAGTCTTCGAAGTCGAAGTCTTGGAAGCTTGCCAGGTGGCCACTAAAGCTGCTCCATACTCCACACTGGCCACCTCACCAAAACCGCTGAGCTGACGAAAAGAAAAACCGCCAGGCTGACAAAAACAACGGGTTTCTGACTGGGGACGGGGGCGGCGAAATAGTCTGAGACCTATCTTGAAGAAGTTTTTTCCGAAGTCATTCCGAGTAAAGAAATAAAGAAACAGAGTTGGGGGACGAGCTATTTTCAGACTCAGATGACTGGGTGACTTCTTTGGGGTTGTCTTCCACTTGGAGAAATGAACTCGGAATTGACTTTTCGATCTCATGAGATCCTCATGCAGATCTCCCAGCCGCTTCCTCTCCTCGGTTCGCGCGCTTTCCGCGCTCCGCGGTGCGCGCACCTTGCGGTCCTGTAGCTCGGGTAGAATCGAGGCACACACTGGCAGCATATGACCATGCGAGACCAAGATGCAATTCCTTCTGGTGTGCCGACAGCGCCTGAGTCAGGGGCGCAGGTCAGGGGCGCAGGTCGGTCAGGGGTTGGGCATGAATTCGTTAGGCATTCGTTGGTGGCATGTTTTCTAGCGCACATAGAGGCTCCTGCATAGCTCCATTGGTAGGCAGTTGTCCACCAAGCGGTCAAGGAATTCTTGATCAAGTTCCTCTTATTGCAGCGGAGAACCAGACTCTCTCTCTCTCTCATCCGGAAATCGCCTCATGTAGTCCAGAAACCGCTTGGCATACCTCACGCGTGCCGCCTGGATGGTCTCAGGCCATTGAGGACGCCGGCCCAGAATTCGTCCCAACTTCCTCGCTGCGGCGCGTGACGGCGCGCGACGGGTTCGGGTTCAGGCACAGGGTTGGTGCACGCAGGTGAGATTTCATGCCTCCATCCCCCGATGTTTGAAGCGGTTTTTCTTCCTCCATGTCTGCGGGGGGTTATGACATACTGAGAGTGTAGACTGTTGATTCATCAAACTCCCTCCAGACATGGATGGTGTTCTACCTCTTCAGGCCTGTTTTACAGTCACCAAGAGATCATCTTCGTCTCTCTAATCTTGGGACCCAGTCACCCAGACCCTCGTTCTTCAAGGCTCAAGCGATCGCACCGGCAGCCCATGGCCTCCAAGGTCTTCAGAAGCACCGTCCAGTCGCGTGGCGGCCAGGGGACTTCCGATTCGAAGACTGCTGGGCCAAAGACCTCTCCCAACTCCTCATCCAGCAAGACCGCCTGGACGCGAGAGGCGAAAATAGGATCGGACCAGTGGCTGTTAGGAGTGGGTGTCTTTTTGAAGAAAAAGGACGAAAAGGGAAGCTAAGTGAAAAAAGACATCTTACGAAAGGATCGATGATAGTAAATCAATGTAAATCATAGTTGCCAGTGGATCGTGGCG